CCGATCCTCTTCTTCAAGCTATTGACGTCCCCCGTGAGGATCTCGCCATTGAGGGCGTTCGATGTCAGGATGCGTTTGACCTCCCAAGCCCACCCGCGCCCGATAGCATCAGCCTCGCCCCTTCTCGTCCTCTTCCTGCTCCTCCTCCTCCTCCTCATCATCATCCTTCTCCTCCTCCTCTTCATCCCTCCCTCCCCCCCTCCCTCCCCCCACCCCTCTCTCCATCCTCTCTCCCTCTCTCCTCCCTCACCCCCCCCTCCCTCCCTCCGCCCCTCTCTCCTCCCTCCGTCCCTTCCTCCCTCCCTCCCTCCTTCCCTCCCTCCCTCCCCTGACCCTCCTCCTCGCCCTTCTCCTCCTCCTCCTCGTCGTCCTCCTCCTCCTTCCCCCTCCTCCTTCCTCGCCCCCCTTCTCCTCCTGCCCCCCCCCCCCCCCCCCCCCCCCCCCCCCCCTGGGGGCGAACGGGGTGCGCCGCGTAGTGCGCGGCGAAGGGCGAGGTATAGTCAGCCAAAGCTGCGACATACCGTGCTGCTGCGCGCTTCGCTGCGCTGCGTTGTCGACGATGGTGGTGGGGGGGGGGGGGGGAGGGCGTATATGGAGCGGGTAGCACATTAAATGGTTGCGTCGTTTCCTGCTATCAACATCACCCCCGACATGCTCATTATCCATCTGCTCATCCGTTACGATTCTCATTCCCCCTGCCCTCACTCTGCTCATGCCCCCTATCTGCTGTTCTCCTCGTCCGCCCACGAGCCCCAGCATGGGGGGGGAGGGGGGGGGGGGGGCTGGTCTCGTCAGCGTGCGCAAACTTTCAGCACAAGACGCGAGTCCAGCAGGCACCTGAAGGCAGCCCCCGAGTGCACGTATATAATTCAGGGGTTAATTTCCTTGCGACGCCAAGCTTAATCCACCTAGCTAGCGCGCGCGCCGCCTGACCCCTTCTCAATCCTCGTCGCTGAAGGCCCCCGCTGGAATGACATTCGGATTGCTGGGGGGCTTGGCATAGACTGCAGGCACAGCATCGCTCTTCGGCGGGCTGGCCTTCGGACGGATCGGGTTCGGAGGGCTCGGGGGCGCGAAGGTATTCGGCGTCGGGGGCTCTGACCGCATCGGGCTCTTCGCAGCCGCCTGCTGCTTGGGTGGGTCAACCTCTGGGCCAGGAACAACCTCGGGTAGCTCGGCGGCGGAGGGCTTTTTGTTGATTCGAATAGGGGAGGGTGACTCGGAGGCCTTCGGATCAATCGCGGCTGGTCTCTTCGATGGCGCAGTGTCGTGGCTAGCTGGCCTCTTGGGGACAGGGGCAGCCTCTTCCTCCTCAGACTCCTCATCCTCGTCACCCTCATCACGCTCTTCTTGATCAACAGAAACGTGAGCGGCCTCATCTCCCTCATCGCCATCGCCCACAGCCTCGGATTCGTCGGGTTCTTCGGGGGGCTCGGCTGCTGCTGCTGTTGCTGCTGATGGTTTGCGCATCGTCGCAGCAGCTGGCCTCTTCAGGATCTCTGTCGTGCCACAGTTAGCTGTCATCCATTCCTTCTTCCTGATTTCCATCTCTTCTTTCGTCGTGGATGCATTGGCTAATGCAGTGGCTTCTGAGATCATAAACTTAATCGCGTCGTCTTTCACCGCATCTGTAATAGGACCAAGCTGCATCTTCATTGCAGGGCGTTTTTTTTTATATCTGGGTTCTCTTTCCACAGGGCAAGATATTTGGCACCCAATCGACTAAATCCGGAGAGGAACAAAAGGAGACCATTGTCTTGAGACTCCTGGCTCCACAAATGACCAGATCCCTTGGCTTTGTGGGTGCCGCGCTGACTCCCCTGCTTCTCTGCTAGCACTTCCCACGTGAATCCCGCAACAGAATGTTTGGAGCCATCCTTGAAGATCGCCACGGCCTCCTCGGTCGTGTCCTCATCGGGTTTGTCCCATTTGATCATATACTCGGGGGGGCCCTTGGAGTCGGAGCTGACGCGGTACGCCGCCTGCCCCGCGGCCCAAGAGGGGGGAAGATAATTTCGGCAGCATCGAGAGAGCAAGATGATACAGAGATGGAAGGCAGCGCAAGCCAACATTGAGTACTGCTGAAGATCCTGCTGCTCCATCTGTGGTTTCTGTTGTCTCCTGCTCCTCATTCCTCCTTCTGTTGATGCAATGCTCCTGGCGCTGCTGCTGCTGTTGCTGCTCCACCTCATCCTCCTCATTGTCCTTCTCTTTCTCCACCTCCCTCCTCCGTCTGCTCCTCCTCCTCATCTTTCCTCCTCCGCCGCCTTGTCCTCCTCCTCCTCCTCCTTCTGCTGATGCTGCCCCTAACCTGCCGCATGTGGCAGTATTAGCATGATTTCCTTTATCCTCCTACCTCCGCTAGTGCAACCTTGGGCCCTTCGACGGCACCGGCCAAGATTTCTGTCCAGCAGGCGAAGAAGCGCTACATCTCTCGCCCCCCCCCCCCGCTCCACCATCTGGTCTTCATCGAGCCTGTAGATGCACAGCGCGCCCTGCCCGCGCCCCGCGCGAGGAGGATAAGGGAAGGGTCGGAAGGCAGGGGGGCGGGCGCGGGAGGACGTTGAGGCACTGGCCAAGGGATGCAAGTGCTAGGAGGGGAGAGAGGGCATTTGAGGATGGGAACACGGTGCACCCGCCCCTTCCTTGCTCTGCTGATGGTCAACCTGTTGCTGCGCTTGGCCCACTTGGGCACGTTCGGAAAGTTCCGCCTGGGAGCTCGGGGGTCGGCGCGCCAGCGCGCGCGACCATCGAAGTCAAAATAAGGGAAGGGTCGGAAGGCAGGGGGGCGGGCGCGGGAGGACGTTGAGGCACTGGCCAAGGGATGCAAGTGCTAGGAGGGGAGAGAGGGCATTTGAGGATGGGAACACGGTGCACCCGCCCCTTCCTTGCTCTGCTGATGGTCAACCTGTTGCTGCATGAAGGGCTTGGCCCACTTGGGCACGCTCGGAAAGTTCCGCCTGGGAGCTCGGGGGTCGGCGCGCCAGCGCGCGCGACCATCGAAGTCAAAAGGGGGGGGGGGGGGGCGGCGGGTTCGGGGCACCAGCGAGCCTGTATAATCATGCAAGGGTTTCTATCCAGCCGCGGCGACGAGCACCCACCTTCCCCCACGGCCCAAGGGTAGCAAAACCAGTTTGGGGAGGAAGCGGGATTTATCAAACCAGCCCTCCGATTCTTGAGGACACCTTGTTGGATATGCCTCAAGATCGCCCTGAGTTGCTTCTCTCTTCCCTCGGCCCAACTGTCTAGTTGATCAGCTAGTTTCCATTATTTTTCTTTTTTTTTTGCCAGCGTAGTAAACACCTCAAGAGCAGCTTGCGAAGACAGCTGGGTCTGTGGTGCGAGGGCAGCTCTGACATCCTTCATCATCGCAGTAGATTTTCTGGATCTGATCCAAGTCGGGCGAGTCGTCCATGCCAGGGTCGCACGAGAACGTTTCGCTGTCTGTGATATGTTTCTCCAGGGCCTTGCATACGGCATCGCTGGCAGTAACTGCCCTTCCGACGCGGTGCTTTTTCGCCTCGGGTTCATCGGCCATGTGCTGACAAAAACCGAAGCATCAATGGATGCCTCAGCTCTCGAGCCAGTGAGCCTCTCGGACGGTAGGCTGGCGGATGTACAATTGGTCTCAGCATTATTGGGCAAGTGGTCGCGGATGGCAAGGGCTCACGAGTAGCGGGCGAGGATGCAAGGCCCTTGCACCGGCCAGAAAACTTACGAAATCAGATGGGCTCCTGAGAAACAGACGCGATGGCGGGTTGAGCGTTGGGGGCAGAACGGAGATGGCATGGCAGAGATCACGTGGCTTGGAGAAAAGAGATTTGGGAGGGCTGAAAGGGGAAAGGCGCAGCGAGGGAAACGCGACAGGGAAGCGGTGGGGGAAGGGCAGGGGTGGCGAAGGAAGGACAGAGGAGAAGGACGGGCAGCCTCACTGGTCACTTCCCGAAGGGGGGCGTCGGATTCACCGTGTGAAATTTAGATTGCCTGGCCAGGGTTAGCTCGAGCTAATATCAGCACGCTGGCGCATCTTCGATCCAATTCCGCCCCACTCCAAACCTGAATAATGCGGAGACCCGCGCAGAGGAACAATGATTTTCGCTGGCTTAGATTTTTCGCACCACCGAGTGGACCGCAATTTCGTGAGCCTGCTGGGAGGTCCCAGTGAGCCTGCAGGGAGGAGGGGAGGGGGGCTGAGCCTTTCTGGGGGATACCTATATCTATAGTCAGCGAGGTCCCCTGTAAAAGTTCGAAGCCTCGTGGCACCCCCCTCCTCCAGTGCCCTGGCAACCCTCCCCGCCCTACCCTCTCGTTGGCTGCGTCGAACTCGCCGCGGATGTCCTTGCCCCTGGCCCACTTCCACGACGCGTCTTTCTCGAGGAGGGCCGCCAGGGCGCTTGCCTCCCCACCCGCGTGAGAGGGAGAAGGAATAGAGAGGCTGGAAGAGGTGCAGTACAAAGCGAGAGGCAAATTGGCGAAAGATTCGCTGCGATAGACGGAGCAGGATCGGGAGGGGGGAGGGCGCGAGGGAAAGAGGCCACGCATATGCATGCAAATTGTCAGATGAGGAAGATCAGCAAATTCAGAGCGCGAGATGACAGATGATGCGCGCTGTAGCAGACAAGCAAGGAGGGGGAGGAAGAGGCGGAGAAAGGGGAATGTCACGAAGACACGGAATGGTCGGAGGAGAATGGAGGAGGAGAAGGATGAGGAGGAGAAGGAGGACGGGGGAGGAGGAGAAGGAGGAGGAGGAGGAGGAGACGGAGGTAGAGGAAGGGAGGTGGAGGATGAGGGGGAGCAGCAGCAGGGGCAGGAGCAGGGGCAGGCTGCAGGGCGGCCACCCCTCCCAGCCCCGCCTGGGCGCTGGCCTGTACGTAGTTCTGGCGCACCTTCCTCAGATCAGTGAGCCAGTCTGCCACCTTCGGGCTCTTGCCGCTCTTGCCCTCGCCGCCATCGTCGCCGCCAGCTGCCGCCCTCGCCCTCTTGCTGGCCCGCGGCTGCACTGGCTGCGGCTCGCCCGCACCTGCTTTCTGCGCGGGCGGCTGCTTGATCTCTGTGCTGGGCAGCGCTAGCTTCTCACCGCTCTCCGCCAAGTGCAGGTTCTTGACGGCGACGTTCGGCGTCTCGGGTGCCGCTGAACCAGACGACGGCGTAGCAGGAGTTGTCGGCCTTGGCGTCGTTGGAGCTGGCGGCGTAGCCGTTGTGGCTGCTGGAGCTGTCGGCGTAGCCGTTGGGGCCGCTGGAGCTGTCGGCGTAGCTGTTGCGGCCGCGGGAGCTGTCGGTGCACCCGCTGTGGCCGCTGTAGGAACTGCAGCCTCAGTCGCTGGCAGGACTGGGAGACTTGCCGCTGACCCCATAGACCATGATTGGAACGACGACCACGACCTCTTCCACGTATCTCGGAGCTTGTGGCTCGTCCACAAGAACATTAAAGTCTGCGTCATCTTGCGCCACTTGCACCAGATGCCGCCCATCAGGATGCACTGGTAGCAATAGTTCTGCGCCATCTTATTGCCAGAACGTCCGCCGCCGCATTTCCACGCAACCCTGCCCATAGACATATACTCTGCATCTTTGATGTCCTCGAGGCTGTGCGTCTCGGTCTTCGTGAGCTCGTGCTTCGTTGCCCACTTCTCGTATTCTCCCTTGGCCCATGTGGAACGGAACTCCTGCTTGTTCAGGTACCCCTTGGCATCCATGTAATATTGCCTCAGCTTCGCGTTGTTTTTTAAAGCTCGGTCCCACCTGCCAGACATGGGATTGCCCTTTGGTTTCTCTGTGCTGAAAACGAATCCACGCTCTTTCAGGCTCTGCATGAGCTCCCCATCGGGCAACGTCAAGGGGGCCACTTCTTCGCCAGAGCGCTGAGAGCGAAGGTTGGCAATCAGGTCGCTCTGGTAGAATGACGTCATGGCGAACTCGCACTGGTCTACGCTGTCGCAGTTCACGTTCTCCCTCAACCGCTGCATCTCAAGGTCGAGAGCCTCGATGAGCTCGGCCCTCTCAAACGCACGCGGCATCTGGATGGGGGAGGTGTCGCCGATGCCTGCCGCCAGCAATCCGACCCTGGTCGGGTCACCAGCCACGTCGGCAGCCTCGGCGTAGGGGTCGCTCCCGGCAATCGGGCCATCGGCGTCGATTGACATCTCGCCCATCTCGCCGTACGGGTCGAAGATGACCTTGACGCTGTCCTCGGCCAACGGGTCAACTGGAGGCTCCTCGAGCATCGGAGTGCCCGTCGTAAATGAGATGGGCCGAGGGTCGCTCGGCTGAAATGCACACGCTGGCCGCTGAGCACTTGCCTTCAGAAGCACCGACTGCAGGTCATCATCGGGAAGGTCGTCGATTTCCGCCAGGGTGACGCCGAGATGATCGCATATCTTGTGCCGCGCTTCTAGCTCCAGCTTGGTACATAACCCAGGGCACGTGTCAGTGAATATCTTCGGCTGGAACTGTGAAGACTGCGGCCTGCTGAGCTCGTCTTTCGTCTCTTCAAGGGGTAGCTGGATTGTGATTTCATTCTCTGCCTCGTAGGTCGCTTTCGACATAGCCAGTGCCAACTCCAAGTCACGCTTATACTCGTCATTCTCAGCGTCAGCGTGAGCAAGCTTCTCACTTACTACCTCCACATCGTCTTCGTCGCGTGCCTTCCGATCTGATTCATCCCAGCGCCCAGCAGCGATGTCTGTCTTGAAACTCTGACTGTCCTCTCCGTCCTCATGCGCTGCGCTGACGTCGTCCGTCTCAATACTGCTGTCCTCAGGCGCTGCGCTATCGTCTGTCTGAGTGTCGGGCGCCCCTGCGGCGCTGGTCGCCTCTGCAACGCCCTCTGCGGCGCTGGTCGCCTCTGCAGCGGCGCCCGCTGCGGCGCTGGTCGCCTCTGCTGCGCTGGTCACCTCTGCTGCGCCCGCTTCGGCGCTGGTCGCCTCTGCTGCGCCCGCTGCGGCGCTGGTCGCCTCTGCTGCGCCCGCTGCGGCGCTGGTCGCCTCTGCTGCGCTGGTCGCCTCTGCTGCGCCCGCTGCTGCGCTGGTCGCCTCTGCTGCGCCCGCTGTTGCGCTGGTCGCCTCTGCGCCCGCTGCGGCGCTGGTCGCCTTGCCCGCTGCGGCGCTGGTCGCCTCTGCGCTGGTCGCCTCTGCAGCGCCCGCTGCGGCGACGCCCGCTGCGGTGCTGGCCGACGGGGCATCGCCCTGGCCGGGCACGGGGGATGGGAGGCGGAGGAAACAATGCAGGCGGAGGAGAAGAAGGTGAGTAGGATAAGCAGGTAAGAAAGAATTAACGAAGGAAAAGAACGATCCTTCGGGAGCGCATTTACAACTGCGACCCTCAGCTCCGTCAACAAAATTCCTATCTCACGCACGTCGTCAGCATATTTCTGCTCAGCCTGGGAAGCCCCGAGGACAAAGTAGAGCATAAGAATGGGGATACTGGTGTGGAGGTGGGGAAGAAGGATGGAGGAGCATACAGCCTGCTTTCGTTTGTTGTCACGGTAGGCTTTGACGAAGATGGCTCTAGAGTATTTGGTATCTCTGCGCTGCTTCTCCCATTCTGGGCTCCGTGGACGTGGAAGACCTTGCAATGGGCACGTCATGATAACTGGTTTCATGGTCTGGGAGCTCTTTTTTTGTCGGGAGTGGGGTGCGGAGTTGCGAACTGGAGTTTTGGAATCTTCCACCCGAAGCCTAGAACCTGTCGAGGCTGAAAACGAAGATGGTGGAGGGAGGGGTGGGGGAACCAAAAGCGAGGACGCGAATGACTGAATGAATGAGTGAGTGAGTGAGTGAGTGAGCGGTGAGTGCGCGGAACAGCGAAGATGACGGCGAGGGCGAGGGGGGGGGGGGGGGGGCAGCTTGGGTTCAGGAGGGGCAGTGGAGTGGCCAGAAGCGTAGGGCACTACGAGTGCGGGGGGGGGGGGGGACCAGGGGAGCTCGTTCCCCCTTGATCCCCTCCTCTCCCTCCCCCTACCTGCTCATCATCACCTCCTGTCCCCCCTCCCTATAGTATATATCATATAAATTGTATTTATATATATATAATAGAGATAGAGATATGAGTATATATATATATATATATATTATATATATATACATACATACATATTAGTTGTTGTTTATATGGTTTTCTCTCGCTCTCTCCTGCTCTCTCTCTCTTCGTCTCTCTCTCTCTCTCTCCTCTCCGCCCTCTCTCTCTCTCTCTCGCTCTCTCTCTCGTCCCCTTCCCCCCCCCCACCCCCCAATCAGAACCACCCAAGGAAGAAACGACGGTCCTCCTGGGACTCGGTGAGTACGTTCATGCCGAAAGGGGTCTGCAGGAGGGAATGTCCCACACCTCTGCCCGTCCTCCTTTTCCTCCTCCTCCTCCTTCTCTCATCATCCCCCCCTCCCCTCATTCTCCTTATCCTCCTCCTTCTCCTGCTCTGTGTCTTCCTCCTCCCCCCCCCCACCCCCCCCATCCTCCTCCACCTCATACCCCACTTCTCTCGTTCCTCCCCCCCCTCACCCCTTCGACGCGAGGAGAAGAGGAAAAGGAGGGGGAGGAGGAGGAGGAGGAGAAGGAGAAGGAGGAGGAGGAGGAGAAGGAGGAGGAGGAGGAGTAGAAGAGGAGGGGATGAGGAGAAGGGGCACGAGGAAAAGCAGGAGGATAAGGACGAGAAGCAGGAGGATAAGGTGCCTTGAGCGCCGCCATCTGCCCCGCGGGCGGCGCCAGGGCCCTGGCGGGGCCTTGCCAGAAATCGGCCGCGGGCGGCGCGAGGGGGAAAGAGGGCGACGACGATGGCGGAGACGGAGGAGGACGACGACGGCGGAGGAGGACCACGACGACGACAGGGGATGGGAACAAGGAGGGGGGAGGGGCGAGGAGGAGGAGGAGGAGGAGGAGAAACATGGGAACGAGTGAGGACGAAGAGGAAGAAGAAGGATCGAGCACGACGAGGAAGGAGGACAAGGAAGGAGGAATAGTACTTAAGAGATAAGAGAAGGAGGAGGAGGAAGAGGAAAGCGAGAGAAAAACAAGATAAGGAATTCCGACATAGGTGTATACCATTCTCAGAATTAATCAACAGAAGCGTAGACACATATAGACATCAGCATCAACATCTCATACATTCAGAAACATGCTGATGTTAAGAACAGTCCAGCGTTTCAGTTGCGATCTTAACTCCGATCTTAAACTAAGATCGTGATAGCCTCTGGGTAGGGCGTCCTCCATCTGCCGGGCCAGATGGAGCCTTCGGTATCTGGCGGTGCCAGCGCCATATCGCACCGCAGCGAGGCTGTCGCCGACAATCCGGACCATCCGGATTGGGCCCCTAAAGTGGGGGAGCAACGCTAACCCGGCTCGGCAGCCAGCCACTTCTGCCATCTGTGCATTGCCACTATCGGAGAGGGCGACGATGGCAATGGTCAGGACCCGGGGGGAGCCAGTGCTGGGATTGCGATGCCACAGGATGGCCCCGACGCCGGAAACTTTTCCCCCGCCTTCGATGGACCTTGCGCCCCCGTCGAAGGTGACTTCATAGGGCCATTGGGTGGAGTTGGAGTCGGGAAAAAGGCGAGCTGCGGACAGTGACCTCATCGCCTGGCTCCAGGTCCGCGTTGGCGATCAGCGCGGTGGTGTGGAACCCACATTCGCGGCAGAAAGATGAGGACCATCTGGCGGTGGGAGAATCGTCGGTCCTAGGGCAGGGGAACCAACCGTTTCTCGGGGGCATCCATGCAGCCCGCGTCTGGGGGGCTTGTAGGACAACGATTATGTCTCCTGGGTCGTGGTGTCTGGTGACCACCGGGAGTCTGCGGACCTCGCCTCCTGCCCTGCGTGCACGTCTCTGCAAGTGGGGCCTCGCGGCGCCACAGATCGCTCTTTCGGGGGTGGTGCAAGGGTTGCAACTGCGGCAGGTGTCGCGCAGGACGGTCCAGACGGCTGTCTCGTCTGGGTTGCTGCTCCTGGGGGGCTCGTCCACCCCGCGCCCCCCTTCGTCGCTGTCACCTTGCTGGTCTGTGTCAGTGGTCACTGTGCCGCGCAGGATGAGTCTGGCGGCTTCGACGGCCTCAAGTGGGGAGGCGGTGAGGTTGACGCAGCATATGAAGGAAATCTGGTGCAGCACTTTGGCAAGCAAGGGTTGGCGTTCGCCGCTGCTGGCGATCGCTTGTGCGAGGGTTGGTGGGTCGTCTGGGCCCCGCATGGTGCACCAGGCTAATGCCGCAGCTGGGCACCCGTGCCAGACGTGCTCCGTGGCCGCTTCTCCGAGCCCACAGAGGGTACAGCGCAGGCATGGCCCGCTTCTGTTGGGAGGTTGTAGGTGCCCCCCTGCGCTTGCACTGGCCTCGGCTTGACCCCTCAGGGGGGGGGGGGGATGTCAGGGGGGAGGGTATGCCAGAGAGCGGAGGCATGGAAGCCTGCGCCGATGCATCTCGCGCACCAGGCAGCACCCCCGTCGTCAGGGCCGGCGGCGATCCACACGCTCCTGGCTGGTGCACCGCATGGGCACCTGTGTGGTATTCTCGTTGTCGCCCCTCCGTCTAGCCGGGCCGGGTAGACCGTTGCTGAGGACCCTTAGCACATGGTGCGCTTCAGTGAAGGAGGCGCAGTGGCATAGTAACTGCCATTCCTCCCCTTTGGAAGGATGCCATCTCCTTCCTTGGCCGGTGTCCAGGAGCCATCTCGTGAGGTTTTGGCTGTGCATCTGGGCCCATGCAGCCGTGTAGGAGATCCTGCCGAAATGTTTGCCTTCAAGAAGGTCGGGTTGCCACTTCGCTTGCAGCAGGGCCCGAGCGGCTTTCCGTTCAGAGATCATCCTGGGTCTGGGGGGGAACGACTCGGGCACCTGGGCAGCATGGGCTCCCCATTTCAGCAATTTGTTCCACCTGATGCTCGCTCGCTTTCTGACAGGGATGGGCCCCCAGAAATCGCTGAGCGCGCGTGCTCCGGCAGCAACCGCGCGGGCAGTCGCGACCGCGCACCCGGGGGCGCCCTGTACCTGGAAGGGAGTGCCCACACCCGTAAGGACGAAAGCAGGGACCCAGGAGGATCCGGCCAGACCGAGAGCGGTCCGTAGTTGGGCTCGTAGCTCGCGCTCTTGTAGATAGTCGGGGAGGGCGTAGTGAGCGGCGCACGGCGCCAGTGAGACCAGGCACGCGCTCCAGGCAGCGGCTGTGCGCGAGGGGGACATCTTTGCCAAGTGCAGAGCCATGGCCCTTTCTCGGATTTTTGGGAGGGGGCGGTCCCATGCGCCTTTGCATAGGGCGTCTTCCTGCTCTTTAATGAGTCCCCCGTTCGCTGGAGGCTCGTCGCCTTCCGCGGCTCGGGAAACCACCACTGCTCCCAGGCAGGGCCACTGGTCTCGCACTGAGGAGCCTCCGAAGGGAGTGTGCTCCATGAGGGCTCGCCACCATTCGTGATTGCCGGCTGGGACGAGGGTTGTCTTGAAAGCGCAGTTGCAGGGGCGCTGATAGGGGGAACACCAGTTGGGTCGGCACTGCCATGTGCTGCTTACCACGAGTGCTTGGATGAGCTCGCTGGGGAGCCCAGAGATGAGCACGCTGTCACCGTCATGTTCGTAGTGGACGGGGGCTTCCTGCAGCGCGGCTCTGAGCGCTGCGGAGTCCTCGGTGCGACTCTTCTGCAGCGGTGGGCCTCGACCAGGAGTCCGGCAGCCTTGGCGGCCCAAGGGAGGGCGATGGCTGCACGCAACGCCTGCTTTGTTGTGCTGAGTAGGGCGGCGAGGTCGTCGACACAGGTGGGGTCGTCGCCCCCCGTGATGGAGAAGATAGCAGAGATGTGGGGGTCAGACCCCATGCTCCAGAGGAGCGGGGAGGCTGTGCCACCCATTCCAACCGACCTCAGTAGGCGCCGCTCGGGACCTTTATACTTTCCTTTGCATGCCCGTACTCTTCGCTCGGCGACCAGTGAGTTGAGGGCCTGAAGCATCCACGAAGGGAGTTTCCATCTACGAAGGAGGCTGTCTACCCATTGAAGTGATCTTCTCTCGAAGGCCTTCTTCTGGTCGCAAAAGATGACGGCTGTGCCAGGGGCGTCACCCATCGTGGAGGCGGCGCGGTTGACAAACGCATCGACAGCGACGGTGTGTCGTCGCAGGAGCGCGGCCCAGGCCGGGCCTGGTGTCTCCGGGGGCTTGGGGGAGAGCTCAGGTGCCGGGTCACCTGTGTGATGTTGGGGCCGCATTGCCCTCCTCGCTTGGCAGCCTGGTTGGGGCTCAGGAGCGGTTCGACGGCTGGGCCTATCAGGTCAGCCAGGGAGGCTCCGCACAGTCGTCTAATGCAGGTGGGAAGTTGCAGCGGTCTCATGTCGTTGGGGGCTTCGGCGCCTGGCTTCTTTCCTATCCATACCAGCAGGTCGACAGAGGGCCCCAGCACCTCCTCGATGAGTGACGGGTTGAGGTCGGCGGCGCACCACGCT